AAATCAGACATATATTCTTTTGGTATCATTATGTATTTGGTTGCAACTGGTGAACCGCCTTTTAGAAATCGGCAATTTGACAGAAATTTAATAAGTAATATTATGGACGGACTACGACCATCGATGCCTGATTCCGCACCAGAGGAATACAAGAAAATTGCCGAGCGGTGTTGTGATGCTGATCCTGACAAGCGTCCAGATGCATATACACTTTGGGAGGATATGTACAAGCTTACTGGAAAGGCTATCCATTGCGATTCTGATGACAACACGTGGAACGCCGTTTATCATAATGATGTAAAACCATTGTCACGTCTCGAGAAGGAGAGTAAATATTCTAGTACGCTCTTGCCTACTGGGAGTTTGCCCAAACCAAAAAATTATTCTCATCAGTTACCTCCCTTATCAGATTTGAGCTTGTCAGATGTTGACGAGGAGTAAGAGATGTAGCTCGGATTATGAAGTTCTGTTCGTATAAATTATTAAGGTCAATCTACAATATTAGTTTAGCGAAAGTTTTACTCTTCTTCCGTTTAAAAAAATTAAATATGTTGGGGTTGAGTTAAAAAAATACTGAAATAAAATCGTGCGCGTCTCCTACTAGCTATTTTTGTCGGGGTAGTCATTTGAATATGTAATAAATTACAAAGTACATCTTTATGAAACTAATAATGAGTAGGAAATCGTTCCTGGATAAGAAATGCATAGCTACATTTGAGCTCCGGTGACGCTGTTTTTAATTCTTGCTTTGGTGATTTAAAACCTGGATAGAAACAACCATCAAAATCTTAGCGGGCTGCGGATACTTTTTTTAATTTTAACATATATATTAAAAAATGTCATACCAGTCGTTTGTCTGTCAGCTAATCACGATTGCCACATTCCATTGGCAACGCGCCCAAATTTGAATCCCCAATATGGTAGTATAATTTTATTTAGCACCATGCAGCAAAAAGCGGTTTTGTTTTTACTTCAATATCACTATTCAATATTCAATATTAACGTCATTATTCACTATTCACTATTCACTAGTCAATATTCAATTTCAATATTCAATTTCAATATTCAATTTCAATTTCAATTTCAATTTCAATCAAAGTTAAGGTTTATATACGTTCCGTTCCGTAAATGTTTAGCACCCAAAATGGTCAACAAAATAGTCAACGACAATCAGCCTTCTGGCGATCAATTTCTACCAATACTTACATAATTTAATAACAAAGGTCTGCTGTCGCAAAAAAAATTCCAATAAACTGGAAATTGATTTAATTGCGGCGGTGATTGATTCTACTAACACTTAAATGGTTTGATAACGAAGGTCCAAAATAGTAGTAATAATAATGGCAGTATGATTTCTTGTTTTTTTGTGGTTTTTTTTTGAGTAAATTTGTGTAAAAAAAAACATTGGGCTAAAGTCGCAGTAATGAAAAAAGTTTGATACAGCACACCAGCACGATGAGCTGGTTATTACAATTAGCCAGTTACCAATAAGCCAAGAACAAAACCAATTAACATTCCAAGGAAAAATTTGCTTGTAAATGTGAGCATTTTTGCAGCGTTACTGATGAAAGTTGTATAGACGCAACAAGAATTAATGTTATTGAAAACCTTAGAAAAACGGCTATCTTGTGAAAGTCATTTAGAGAAATTTCAGTATTGCAGTAAAATAAACAAGTTTAGCAAATCGCTGAAGATCGAACCAAATAATGCACGGACATTGAGTAGTAGAGGAGATGTCTATAGACTCTTAAACAAAATGAAAATGCACTGAATAATTTTAACAAATTTCAGAATTATTGAAAATTAACCCAATTATGCATGGGCTTTGAGTTTAAACGGGAGGTCTATCAATGTCTAAACCAATACGAAAATTCACTGAATAATCTTAGCAATCGTTGGTAACCAAATAATGCATGGGCATTAAAACGAAGAAAAGCTGTCTATAAAAGTCTAGAACAATACAACGCTTTACTTAATATTTTAACAAATTATTGGAGATTGAGCCAAACAATGCATGGACATTAAGGAGAAATGTCTACCGATTTCTAGACCAATACGACAATTTACTGAATTATTTTAACAAATCGTTAGAGATCGAACCAAATAATGCATGAGCATTGAGAAGAAGGGGAGTTGTTTATCAATTTTTAAAATAATACGAAAATTCACTGAACAATTTTAACGGATTGTTGGAAATTGAATTAAATAATGCATGGGCATTGACAAATCGGGAAAAAGTCTATCGATGCTTAAAATAATATGTTAATTCACTGAATGTTCTCAACAAATTGTTGGAGATCGAATTAAATAATACATAGGCATTAAGTATGTTATGTAAATACGGTGTTTTGGGGGATTAGCATTAGGAGTTACTTTGTGATATTATTTATATATGACAACAGCAAAACGTTATGGAGCATAGTTCAGTAGTTAAGACTCAAGTGTGTACAAACAATATAATCAAAGAGTAACCAAATAGAATACCACAACATAGATTTTGGAAAACTTTAGACGAGATTTACGTACGTACATCGGTGAACTGCATATTACCGAAAGCGCAAATATTGTGCTTGATTGTAATACAAAAATTATTGAGTTAAACGCAGCATTAGGCTAGATTTAACCGAGAAACAATAAATTTACAAGTATCTTATTAAAGTGTTAACAGGAACACGTCAGCCAAACGCAGTCAAGTTTGACAATAATTGTTTCACTAATTAACGAATGTGTACCTACAAAAAAAATCAAATTTATTAACATAAATATCTTATCTAGAAATTGTTTACCAGTTAAACGTTATTGACAAAATGCTGGGTTTACAGATACGTCTCGTCTAATAACACACTAACATAATCCGTACTTAGCGTCTTCTATTATCGGGTTATCCATAACATTTGTAACATTGCGGTAACAATTATTTTGCCACAAAGAATTCCCGTAAAGCAGTATTTCAAAAACAGTACAAGAAAAAAATTTTTATTTATTTAATAAACCATTATCTATGCAATAAATTTAATATTATATATTGTATAAATTTTTGTATTGCTGCATAACAGCACGCCATTTAATTGCCTGTTTCTAAACAGGATGAAACATCACAGAAATTTCCAAAAACAGCAACCCACCAGCTTGGGTTGTTACTAATTGCTCCGAAAAAAATAAAAAAGGCCCCTATTCCTACTCCCGATGTACATAACCAAAAAGAAAGAACACTATCTTTTACTCCTGGTGGTGGTTTACTTAACAAAAAATAATATCTAAAGGATATTATTGAGTTGAAAGTCCATACCCCAGCAATCACAGCCAGTCCAATTGACCGGCAACCGAAACCCACTGGTTTTGTATAATATGTGAGAATTACAACTATCCAATGGACGGTGATGCTAGCTAGTAATGTACATAAAACACACCCATCTCGGCCTATGTGCTCGTCAACGTCTACTACACGAATATAGCCTTCAACTTCTTTTAGGGCTTTTTTGGGATTCTTAACGACTACTTTTCCCTTACGAATCCTGAAGAATAGTATGGGTAGCGTCCACGATAATAACAGTGGTATTGCTGGCCAGTCCTGTTCCTGACATGGGCCAACAGCTCTGTATATGCTGGTCAGAATACCGACAAAGATAAAATAAGCCGCCACATAACAACTAGAGTAGTCTAGAAAAGAAATGTTGGCTATGCATTCCGTAAGACGTTTTCTAATATCGGGAACCTCGCTGAAATCAAGACTCTTAACCCTAAATCCAAACGGCCACACATTTACAAATTGGTTTTCTTCACAATTCGGAGCACGAAATTTATCCTCTGGCAGCCAGTATGCGCTAATGTTCGGAATTTCTTCTCCATCCTCATCCACGCCAGATTTTACGTGAAGAAAGAGAAAGAGTGGGATAAATGGGCAGCCGAGGCAGACAAGGATGTGAAAAAAGCGTGTGCCAGGAGTTGAGAACGGCCCATCTCCTGCTATCATGAGAGCGGCTATTGTGGGAAATAAGTAAGCTGGAAAAATATTTTGTAATACTCTAAACACGTCAGCCATTCTGTGATTGATATATCTAAACTCGGAAACTAAAACCACGAATAAAAAGGCAATAAATTTGTCACTAGTAAACAAATTTGCAAGAGGAGAGTTAGTAACTGAAGTAGGGAGCTGTTGCTTTTCGTTGTCTCTTGATGTGTTTTACGTTTAACGTTTTACGTTTTATGTTATGGGTGTTTGCTTCAGAAAAGTGTAAAGTCAACTTAAAAAAAAATTGTCATTTGACAATGTTTAAATCGAAGTCGTCAGTTATGAGCTTATATATTTGTGGTGAGGGTGTATGTCGACCCAATGAAGCTTTAAAGTAGGTCACACATATCTACATCGAATAGAAATTTTACAAAACCATCATGATAAGAGTTCTATTTATAGCTTAAACATGAATGAACGTAAATGTAAAGACACTTCCGCAAATAGCAAACTGATACTATTGCAGTAGTTTATGTCGATATGGTATAATTGAAATACGAGTCTAGATTTTTAATTTTATTTTTAGGCGTGCTAATTTGGTTACTGCAGTAATGAGTCAATGTATAAAGTAAAACCTATAGATACTGCAAGCCAGTATGCTGCGTGCAAGATAACAATCTCTTTGATTTTACCTTATCGAGGAATACAACATCTACATATAAAATTGCACGAAACTTAATTTGCAATAGAAATACGGTAAAAGGTTTTCCGCTGATAATCACATCACTGATAACGGTCCTTACTATGGTTGGATGTTTACACTCAATTACGTAAAAGCAAATATAATATTGTTTGCCTTGGAAAGTGTTTAAGTACTGATGCGTCATAAACTTGATCGACGTATAAAGCAGTTGAAAAAATCGCAAATCAATGAAGACACGGAATTTAGTTACCTAGCGCACACGCTAAGTTATAACGTTTGCTTAAAAATAGACGTGTAAATAGTATAGTTTTGGTTTTATATTACTAGAATTGATCAAGTGTCATTAGATTCTTATGAATTTAGCGTTGTATAATTTCAAAGCTTTGGCAGTTTTATTAAGTAATATGAGTAATAATAATGTATTGTAATTTTTTTTTATTCCAAATTTACAAATTTATAAATATATAATTATTAATAGCGTGCGCATTATTTAGGCTAAGCAGAAACGTTTCTGTTAATGAAGATAGACATTTAGTTAAGTCTAACAAGAAGTCGGGTTTGCGATTATCTTTAAAGTTTAATGTTATTGTTTTTACAAATTTGATCGAGCATTTTGCTATGCTTGAATGTTCTAATAGATATAATTAAAATTTTTACACGACTTATCAATGACGCCTCAAACAAACATTTCATATTTTAAAGAATTGTACTCGCTAAACTATTTTAGTTTTCTCTGTGTTCAAGATTTTCTCTTTGTATCATGGTGCACCATCAGCCAACTTGCAGATATTTTGCAACGTTACACTGCCTGGATACCATTGCTCATATTTGTCATCAGCCATCGTCACGATACATCAATATTTAATCTGATATTCTGGATAATCAAATACATTATTCGCAGATAACGCAAAATGTCAAAAGCAATCAAGATATTTATATTGTCGAAACGTCGTTTTTTGTTCATAATAATGTCTCCCAAGTATATTTTTTATAAAGTTATCTAATTTTTTTTTAAAAGTAGACCGTCCACATAACTGTTAACTCTGTAATTATTACCGTGTGGCTGATAATGAATGCACAGCACAAAAGTGTGTCAAGCATCTGGTCTCATTTGAATGAGTCATTATGCAGCGATAACTACTGGCCAATTTGTCATTGTTGTTATGTATACGGATTTTGTCCCACGTACAGTGTTCAAGCATCGGACCAATTGATGTGATGCCAATATATTTATCGGGCGTTAAATTGCATAAAAGTTTAATTCAGATATCGTTTATACATGGACATGTTAATTTCGATAAAGAGACTGCTTCCATACAATAAAAGATCATTATTTGTCGCTTATTAAACAAAGGGTAAAGAATATTTAACCTGTAAGCGCTTGCCGTGCTTATCAAAGATAAAGTTTATCGTTCTGCACAGAAAAAAAGTTACAACAGTACACAGTACATCAAAGTAAATAAGCATAATAATGTGATGACAAATCAACATTAAAAAAGAGGGCAAATTTGTAAACATTTTTGCGCAACAAGTTGTCTTTCTTACGTATAGAGACTCTTATACGTGCGTATAAGTTGTCGTATTTTGGGATTATTTGTCATAACCTATATGTATTCAGACGCAAATATGATTACAGTTAGTACTAAGTAAGTTGATTGTCTTGTAATAAGATAATTCCGAGTAAATTTGGCAGAAATGACGTTTGTTGAGAACGTGTACAGTATAAAAAAACTAATTTATATCGAGTTAAAAAAATATTTTAATTAAAAATGTCTAATTTAAACTGTTATTTATAATTCGTAAAGTCTATTAAATTCAGTGAGAGTTTTAGATAAACAAAATTTGTTAATTAAATTAGAAAACTAGTATTAAGCTTGCGATTTATACGTCAAATTACTAGTTTTATAATCTGGAGTAAGCATATATGGAATGGTAAAAAATTGCATTAGACAATACCATAATGCATTTAAGAAAGACGCAATGCGTAGTTTTATTTTTAACTTACGCATGAATAACTACGTAAATGTGAAGACATTTCCGCAAATAGCAAAAATTTTCAATCCCAATAATACGCAGTATCCATGTACCAATAACGGCGGTAACTATAAATTCCAATCTAAAACGTCTAATTCGATTGTTAAATTTGCTTATTCGGATGCTGCAGTAATAAGCCAATGTGTAAACTATAATTCTGCGAAAGTTTGTATGCTGGGTACAAAATAAGAACCGTGTGCTAATAATAATTATCAATTAACTGCGAAAAATTAAAAACCATTTATTCTCTTATTTATGCTCCTTCATTCACGAACCACAATTACACACAATGCATGATTTAAGTTAGAGAGGTTTTTATTATCAATTTGAACTTCTTAATGTTACTTGACATCCGATTAAACATTCTATTTATATTGAACACTACAACAGAATTAGTTAAAAATTTTCACGTAATTATCATTGGTGCCTCAAATAAAACAATTATTTTTTTATGCCAATCTGATTTGTTATTGCTAGCGAAACAACTATAGTTTTATTGAGAAGTTTTATCACTCGATTATCTTGCATATATGTTACACGGTTTCACGGTTATTTCATTGCTATTACTATAGCTATATCAGTATTATTCAACGTTTATTCTCAATTATTGGTGGAAAATATGCATGTAACGCACCGCATTCTGTAATCGTAAAATGTCAAGCATAATAAAAATATTTTCGCCGCAGTAAACTATTATTAGAATTTATGATAACGATGATCGACATGTTATCCTAGAAACGGATTTTGTAGTACCAATCAGACGTAATTTCTGCATAAAATATTTACGATTGCACAAAAAAGTGTCGGAGAGATTATCCACAAAATATGCTGAAGCGATTTTTCGAATGGCTTGTATCAAAATTGTTACAGAGACTGTAAAGCTATATTGTTACTGGCGTGTGCGGATAAACTTAATTTTACACTTGATATCGAAATAAAGCTTGATATCTCAAAAGTAGGTTAAAGAGCGTATATGAATGCCTATTTATGCATTGACCATCCAGATGTACAGTAATTTGATTCTATTAAAGACGCAGCAAATGTCAAGTTTGTACATAAATTCAAAATTGTATTTAGCTTATACTTAACAAAGAAGATATAAAGAGTTATTCGCTATAAACAAAGTCTGTGACACATATGTCAACCGCTTCGCTTTAGCCCCGCCAACATCTGTAAGACCAAAGTAAGGTTTTCAATACAAAAGGTAAGCCTAATAGATAATCTAAACAAAAAAATTTTTTCGACGTTTTTTAATTTTCAAAATCTGTACAAAACCGTAGAGCTTATTAATTCGACAATTATTCAGCGTGAGAAAGGAGAAAAAAATGGTAATATGAGGGAAGAGAAACGCTGACTATTGAAGTGTGATCTTTTGGATCGTCGTCAATTTTTCTATAAAGTATTTAGATCCTGAGCGTGCTATTATGGGCGTAGACAATAAATGAATAGAAGGGAGTAAGGCACGAAATTATGACTGTAAATTGCTTACTTGTATAGAATTTTAGTCTAGTAGAAAAAAAAAACGTGCGCCAAACTAAACGTGAAGAAAAGATAGAAATCGGTATGTAAAACTTTAATTCTCTAGAGCCTACAGTTTAATACACGGTTTAGTTACAAGATTAAAAATTACAGAAGTATCTACGCACTTTATAAAAATAATAAAATGACAAACTACGTACAACTGTTAGTGAACGCACTGAAAATTTTTTTTGCTCTAATTTTTATTTTAAGTGGAATTAATAGAATAAATAATTTGCTCAACAATATTTTAAATAATGGACTTTTTGCTTTGCTCTCAACGTAGAATTGGATCAAATATTAATCTTACAATAATTTTTATCTAAGTGCTAAATTTGATAAAATAAACTTGTCACCGAACCGTCATAACGCCGTTCTGACATGAAAAATTGCAATTAAATGCAAATCCAAACTTTTTTGACAAATAGTTTATTATTTAACAGCGGTAGCCTCACTAGTTTATCATTATTATCATATTTGGCAATATAAAGTTTTAGTTACCAAAATAGTCAGGGCGATAAACCGTTTTACAGCGATGCCATATATGGTAAATTTGTATATTATATAGCCATTTTCGGGGGTAGGCTAAAGCGGAGTAGTTTATGCCACACAGAAGGTGCCACAAATTGACCAAGTGCCACAATCAGTATTGG